TAGCTTTCATTCCCCATTACGTTTTCCGTCAGTTATGCATGCAGCTACATGGACGTTTAAGTGTTGCACCAATAACAAGGCCTTCGTATTTCTGTTAACTCTACTGCCTATTATCGTCAATTTAGAATTGAACTTTCCCCTTATTTGCATTTTGTTCTACCCCGTCTGTATTTTTTCTGTTACCAATTTGGGCTCTTTCAGCGCGTTCTCGAAGGTCACGTGGCTGAGATATATAGATGTCGTTTCTTTCCGTCGGGGTTAGCTGCAATAACTGCGGGTGCTGACATGCAGTTGAAAATCTGGTGCCTGCTGACCGGTCGTTGCGCAGCAACGTTGGCTCCTGGACTTGCGGGTGGTGTCACTGGTGTCCAACCGAATTCAAATGAACCTGGCGGACATAGAGCAGGTGTTATGGACATGGGTATCATTCATCGCGGACGAAACATTGTATCTGTGGATCGAGCTGGCTGGTTGCGACTTTGGGATGTAGGCACACAGGTAAAATTTTACTCAGATGTTTTACTTTGAACCACTTGTATAACTCTTTTTGTTTACTGACAGGGATTTAGTTCAGGAATTTATCCAAATATAGATTTCATATTTCCCCTCAAATTTTAAAATTTAAGAAAAAGTAGACGCTATATGTTTGGATTAGCCCATTCGGTTTTTCACAGGCACTGTTGATGATCTTGGATGTAGGTTCCCCTCCTTGGGAGATCGTTAATTCCCCACATGACAAACCTCGGTCCATGCTCTTTATCGGTTATCACGAATATCAACGCCTTTAAAATGCATTCAAATAGTGGGAAATTGATGATCTCCCAGGGAGTGAAACCCATACCGAACATCATCAACAGTACCTTGTGCCTGTGAAAAACCAAATGGACTAATCAAAACATTCACCGTCTAAATTGATTGAGCCATTCGCGCAAGATGATGACCGTCGACCGTGTATCTCAGAGGTGAGGGTTTGAAGTCCCGACCCCGAAGGTTATCGGTTCGAGTTCTTACAGGCAAACAAAGTGTACGCACTAATGATGAGTCACAAACAGAACGAAAGAGCTGTCCAGTGTCCTTTGTCGGCCATCACAAACATCTTAAAGGAAAGTAATTTCAAACAGGTAATATTTTCTCATCGGCATTCCATTTTTTATTCCGTCGCTAAAATGAAACATCGTAGGGACTGACACGGAACAGTAGAAGTGTTTGTATAATGTTTTTGTTCGTTGTCGTTTTAAAGTTTGTGCTCAATAGCTCAAGCCGGAGTAGTGAGTTGAATTCAATGATCCAACCTTTGTAATATACTGCGTAGCGGTGGTGGTGTACGGCTCCATTTTATGTCACTGGATTATTGTGGGTCCTAGTAATCGAGGATGGAATCAGCCGCCACCTTATACATACATCTTACACATACTAGTGGGGCATCTTATAGTTCACCAATCCAAGTCCCAATGTGTTATTTTCGGCCTAGTTGTACGATCGAAATGGTCGCTTCTTGCTTAGCCCCCAACAATAATGCAGGAGAGATAAAAGTCAACCAGGTTTTGTTCTGTGATTATGGTACAACCCGCGTATAGAAAGCGTAAATCGATCATACGCGAGAGACACAATGACGCACCGATCGAAGTGCTTCCTTAACTATCTGACTGGTTGATCGATCGACTGTTGTCCGATTTTTTTTCAGTCGTTAAATTCGGATTGCACTGGTGTCGCTGGTATCACTAGCTTGCCTGTGGGGTAGCGCGAACTCGTGCGCCACCTGGCGAGTTCTGTAAGTTGCCCTCCGGTTACCGGTTATTACGAGTGAGCTATGGGTTAACGTAACTATGGGAGTAATCCTGCTCAATGTTCAGCGCACAGTGATGTATAGTCAGAGTGGGCCTGGCAAACCGATTCCTCCATCCATTGGGTGGTCTTTGCCTAGTCCTTTCAATTAGAACACACTTCGGATGGGGCTTCGGTATCTAGATTGTCGAATCACTCGTCCATCCCCTACTGCAGTTCATCATCGTCAGTGGTTAGTTATTCCTGGAATTCATTCCATTTGAAATATTGTCTCACTGCATCGTCTCTAGTTTACCGAACACCTATTAGACTGGTGTTTCCAGGT